CTGCGCACACACAGAAACTTATTGTCGGTGCTGCCTGCGACTTTCATTAATAAAATAACATGGATACTAAATCGCTACATTATCTTCCTCAGCAACGAGGTAAAATCAAAGTAATTAAACGGCTTCATTGTTTGTAGAGAGAGACGCACAGACGCAGGTAATTCACACACACAACTGTCATCTCTTTCTCGATCGATAATTCATTCAAATACATGCTATAATTCATTCAAATAAATGTGGTCTTACCGCACTTTCATCTCCGTATCTGATTTGAAGCGGGCAGAAATCTAGAGCTAACGAGCCGTAACTGACGAAAATAACCGTAATTTTTACCCTTCCGGTTAAATTTTGCACTGCTAACATCATAAACTGCTTTAAGTTGTCAATACTGGCAAATGACCATGGAATAAGTGGAATAATCAACGGCTTGCCGTGCATTAAAGGATTTTAGAAAAACTCAACACCACCATCTAGTGGACTGTAAAGAAATTGATTTTGTTATTCTACCAAATAGTATAATAAAAGATCGATACTTGGCATCCGTGTATCGATACAGTATTGCCGCGGAAAATATCGCGATATTATGCTATATCGATTTTCTATTTTTTTCCCCCACCCCTAGTAATTTGCCTATTTTTCACCAATAAAGAGTAGTTGTATCATGTCAATGACCTTTCCATTTGATTCCTGGTGTCAGAATTATATGAAAAAGTGGGTTCATTTGTGTTTGTATGTTGTACGGTTCAGGAGTTATCAAAATTTGTGATTTTCGCCACTCGCAATGACATAATTTAAAGATGGCCGCCAAACAGACCCCATAGGACATTAGTTGACCTTGGCAACATCAAAAATTCTTAACTAGACACTATTAGGGTTCCAACAAAAAAAAAAACGGTTACAAAAAACTGTCAAGCGGGTGGATGGGAACTAATTCTTCCTGCCCTACTACTAGGAACTTTAATTACAAATTGGAAAGGCACACACAATATGAAGTCTAATGGATGAAATTCATATCAGAGCAAAAACCAAGCCATGAGGTCAAAGGAATGGCCTGCTGAGCTTAGAGACACGATTGTGCTGAGACAGATCTGGGGAAGACTACAAAACAAAATTCTGCTGCATTGAAGGTTCTCTGGTGCATGTGGCCCCCAGAATCCTTATTAGAAGAAATTTGGATAAACCAGAACTTCCGAGAACTGGCCTCCTAGCCAAACTGAGCAATCGCTGGAGAAGGGCCTAGGTTAGAGTGGTGACCAAGCAGCTGATGGTCACTCTAGTTGAACTCTATGATCACATAATCAGCCCTCTACATTGCGAGTAAATCACTCGCATATGCGACTAAATGATGTCTAATATTAGCCAATGGTTAATAAATTCTCAGATTTTACTTGCCAGTGTGAGAGTTGGAGGCTAAGTATAAGTTTAGCACAGATATATTTTTACTGGCCGAACACTGACTGAGCGCTTCAGAGTTTCACTCTCCGTCAAGCGATCTGTGCTGTTTTTCAGTTAATCTCAATGGATGCGCAGCGCACCTGTATTTGATGTAGGGCTGGGCGATATGGCAAAAATGTAATCTCGATAAATTTTTCCCATATTGAAAGATAACGATATATATTTCGATATAAGTTGTTAATGCTTCCAGCTTTAAAAGAGCATCCCAACAATGACTGAAGCCACAAAAATTAGAGGGTTCATTAAATTACACTTTAAAAGTATAGTTTATTTAAAAAAAAAAAAAAAAAGATTACACATTTGGCCTTAAAAATTAAATCAACTTACTAAAATAAATTTAAAAATAAAAGTTGTGACAAAAGATGGTAAATGAGAGTAAATGTCCAAAATGTAAACATAATACTATTGTAAACATAATTTGTAACACAATTACAGTTTTCCCCCCCCCCAGAAAGACTAACTGTCAATAGTGACTGTCTTAAAGAGG